CCTGCATGTCACAGCTCATCATTATATCAGTCAACTGACGAGATATTGCATTTATTCAATGTCTTCATATTCAATAATTTACAGTCTTTTCACATCCTAAGGCCAAGTTTTTTGATTCATGGTTAAAATAACTAATTGTTAAAATTTGCTACTAATGGTAAAATATTAACAAAATGTAAACTAATAGTTAAAAAGTGTACTAAAAGTCAAGTTAACCATTGTTCAAAAAACATTTTTTTCCGATATTTAACCACTTGTCATTTGACATCTGTCAGATTTGACTATTGGTTATTTTAACTACGAATCAAAAAACCGGGCCTAAGTGGCAATGTCACTGAAATATGAATAATTAATTAAAAAGACAATACAGATTCAAATATACGAAACAAATGATGAACGGACGACTGCTAATGGCAGAGGACGACACCGAGTAATGCTTGAGTGTTGCTAAAATTTAAATTTAAAACTATTGGTTTAATTTGCGAGTAGGTACGATGGAGGCACGACGCGCGCGCACGCTCGCCGTATATGGCCGCACGCAGCGACGCAAGGTCGGGTGCCTTCCTCGGTGGCCGTGGCTACCGATGTTATTTTGTTTTAATGCAAAATCGTGGTAAACTGGCTTTCTATGGTGATGAGCATTCATGAGAAAGGAAAGCCATTAAACATCCTTTATTTAATTCCCAATTAATCAGTTTAGTATTGATGTCAATTTTAAATACTTGACCTTTTTTTGGTGAAAATTTTAATATGTACAAGACAAGTGGGAAGTGCCACTACATTTTCAATATTTTATTGTCAAAATGTAAGATGCATTAAAACACCTAAAAAAGTTTAAAAAAAACCATTGCTCAACACAAGTTGGGAAAATTTAGCTGGATATATCAGAAAGAAATCGAAAAGGCCAAAATGACAACTGATTACAAACATAAGGGTTAAGAACTCTAAAATCATGATAGATACAGATACTAGTGGTCCATCACATTAGCCTAAACACAAATGATCAGCACTAGCCAAATTATTACGACTAATAAAAAACTACTTATAAAATATCTTGACAAGAAAAAACAGAATCATATTATTAGAAGTTGGCAAANTGCAGCGTTGGAGAATAAGAGCCAATGAGAGCAAATCGGTACATGTAACATTCACACTCAGGAAAGAGACATGTCCACCAGTAACGCTAAACTGCAAAGTTATCCCTCAAGACAATAACGCAAAATACTTGGGCATGCACCTAGACAGGAAACTTACGTGGCAGAAACATATTTGGACGAAGCGCAAACAACTGGATGGAAGGCTGCGGTCACTGAACTGGTTAATGGGACGCCAATCACAATTAAGTCCTAGCAGCAAGATGCTAGTGTACAAAACTACCATAAAACCGATCTGGACTTACGGTATACAACTGTGGGGAACGGCCAGCAACAGTAATATAGATATCCTGGAGAGATTCCAGACCAAAGCTCTGCGAATAATGTTTGGAATTCCACATTGTATAAGTAATAGATACATATACCTCGACCTCGGCCTAAAAACAGTTCGGCAGGAAATAGCCCAGAACAGCCTGAAATACCAGGAGAAGCTGACCGCCCATGTTAACAACTTAGCGCACGCTCTGAGTGGGGAAGGCGCTCTTCAGCACACCCGGCTAAAGAGAAATGACATACCGAGCCTACATAAAAGATTTACCACCTGACATTAAGAGAGTCGTGTGAAATGAATTTTCACACAAGTATGGCTCTCGAAGAAAACATAGTCTGAGGAATCAACCAAAGAAGTGGCTTATTGTTGAAAAAACAGATTGCCATGAAGCAGAATCATCAAAAAAAAAAATTATTAGAAGTTAATTTTTATTAAATTAATTTTGTGGTACACATTAACGTAAAATAAATTGAGAAATGTATCACAGAAGAATTGTGTACCCTGTACATCTTAATGTGTGGAATGTTATCGTTAACCCAAGAAACTGTGTTGGTCAATGATTATAAATGGTTTTTATTTTATTTCGTTCTTACTTCCTACTTTAAAATAACACTTATGCCCACCAGTAAGATCAATATCAAGCCAAACCTACATACATAACAATTTGTTATTGATCTACTTGCTATTGTATTTTTATTAAATACAGAATTAATTTTCTTTTAAAAACAGCTGATATAGTTTCAGACTAATTAAACATTATTATTATTATTATTATTATAGCTTTGTATTCCACATTTTTACAGTTTGATTCAATTAATCTATATCTCTTGTTTGTGGCCCCACTTGGGTAAAAGCCTCCTCCATCTTTTTCCACCTTTCCCTGTCGCTGGCTATGTGCATCCAATTTTTCCCTGCCTTGTTTGTTATGTCATCGGCCCATCTTTTCTTCGGCCGTCCTACGTTTCTTTTGCCTTTTGGGCCTTGCCATTTTGTTGTTTGATAGGTCCACCTCTTATCTTTATATCTTGCCAAATGACCTGCCCAGTTCCACTTCTGCTTTAGGCTAAATTTAAGAGCATCTGATAATTTAGTTTTCATACGGATGTCTGTGTTTCTAGTCTTTTGTATTCTTCTTAGTTTTAAGATACTTCTCTCCATTGCGTGTTGACAAGAGGAGATTTTGTTTTTTACTCTTTCCGTAAAGACCCATGTCTGGCTAGCATAAGTTAGGCTTGGGAGAATGCAGGAATCCATTATTGTCTTTTTTATATTTAAGTTATAATTCCCTTTTAAGATTTCTTTTTGTGCCCAGTATTTCTTCCATGTTACACCTATTCGTCTGTCTAGTTCGTTTTCGTTGCTGTTTGTATCGAATGACACCAATTTGCCTAGGTATACATAGTCATCTACATATTCTATAGGTTTTTCCTCTATTTTTATTGTTTTCCTAGGACTGTTTGACATGATTTTAGTTTTAGAAGCGTTCATGTGTAAGCCGATTTTTATACTTTCATAGTTCACACTTTGCAACATTTTCTCTAAGTCTGTAGCTGATTCACTGAATAGAACTATGTCATCTGCAAACCTTAGGTGTGTCAATTTATTATTATCTATCCATATGCCTCTATTTTTCCAATCAATATTCTTGAAAATGTCCTCCAGCACAGCTATGAACAGTTTAGGAGAGAGCGGGTCTCCCTGCCGCACTCCTCTTCCAATTATGAACTCTTCTCCTTGTCTTTCCAGTTTTACTCTGCTTACGCTTTTGGAATAGATGTTTTTGATGATATTTATGTATGTTTTATTTATATCGTTGTTCCTTAGAGCAGTCCATATGGATGAGTGCACTATACTGTCGAATGCTTTGGAATAATCCACAAATGCCAAATAAAGTGGTTTATTAAATTCTTTAAATTTCTCCATTACTTGTTCTATTGTATGGATGTGATCAATTGTTGAGTAATGTGGTCTAAAGCCCGCTTGTTCTATTGGTTGATTGTTGTCAATTTTTGATGCTATTCTGCTGAGAAGTATTGATGAAAAGAGTTTATATATTGCAGATAGTAGGCTGATAGGTCTATAGTTGCCGATGTCGAGTGGACTTCCTTTTTTATACAGTAGAATTATGTTTGACTTAGTCCATTGCGATGGTACTTGTTCTTCTTCCAGTACTAAGTTAAACATCTCAGTTAGATATGGGACTAGAATTCGCGCACCGATTTTCAGGGCTTCATTTGTAATGTTGTCTTCTCCTGGGCTCTTCTCAGGTTTTAATTTTGTAATGTGAGTCCATACTTCACTTTCCGTTATTGGGTTTATTTTTGTTTCTCCTGTATCCTCTTCCGTTATATCGCTATTTTCATCCTCTTCTGTCATTTCTGGTGGTGGTTTTTGATATAGCGAGGAATAGAAAGCTGTTGCACATTCTATTATACCTTCTCTGTCTCTGATTTCGCCCTTCCCACTGCTTAGACTCTGTACCCAATTTTTGAAAAAAGAGAGAGGAACTAAAGGAATTGTTCAAACAAACCAATAAATCAATCAGAAGAGATTATGATAACCACAGAAGAGAAATAATAGTAAAAAACATGTCATTGTTCCGGAGTTCGAAAAGAGCGTACAAAGAACTAATTACGCACAAAATTGGGTACAGAGTCTAAGCAGTGGGAATTAAACATTAACAAAGAATAATAATTTTCATTAGGTAAAGCAGATCGTTGGGGCAGGCCTTTGTCCAGCAGTGGACGTCTTTCGGCTGAAACGAATGAACGAAAAGCAGACTTAAAGATTCAGAAACTAGGGCTAGGTCCAGGAGTTACCTTCGTAGAAGGATGAATGTAGTAAAAATAACAAATAAAGGTATTTTAAAAAGGATGAGCATGTCCAATTTAGCAGAACAGTAGTGTCACAATAATTCACTGAAAAATAAAGATTTCTTTGGTAATATTTTGTAAAAAAATTCAACAGAATGACAAATCATAGATTAAATTAAAACTTGTGACAGAAGTAGATAAGATTTTTAGGTAATTTATGTAAAATAAGATACAGTGTTGTTAAATGAAGGGAAATACCTCTTTCTTTTCGTTACCCAGAATAAGTAAGGACTTTTACTGATAGAGCTATTACACATTTGGCGGTATTGATAATTTTATTGTGAACATAAGGACTATAGTTAGAAATACAGACATTAGTTTCCTATTTCAAAATTACCTTTGTAGGAATTTTATGTGGAATCATCCTGCTAGCAACCACAAAAAAGCTATCAGTTCATAGGGTACAGATATAATAGGGTTTCAATTCCAATCAGCTGCTTTGGTAGCCTCCACAAAATGCGTCAAAATGCAGGCATTATTCCTTTACCAAATGCGCTTCACTGTGAATGGAGATTTTGTCAATTTATTGGTAAAAGTCGTGGTGATTCACACTCGCCCGCACCGATGTGAATCACAAGAACCAAGTGATTAACATTGTCACAAACAATTCTCCACCAGGTACCAACAAAAGCAAATTCGTTGAGGAAATTATAACAAGTGGAATGCATGCCCCAGCAAGAACTCCAGCGTGATCGTACTCACCATCTGTTCGTTTTATGTTGATGTTAATTCCAGACTGGATCTTCACGCTACCGTCATCCATTTTCGCACTGATTTATGCACCACATACACTATAGAACATTATTTCGCAATGAACGTTTATTCAATATTATTTTGTCTAACACATTCGGAAATTACACATATGAACCGGTGAAAATTACAAAATAAATTTCTACACCCAGATTGACAGTTATGCCGTGCTAGCTACACACTTCAGACTGGAACGTTTGAAATTTGTTTCACTACAACAGTCAAATCAATCACTACTTTCTAATCCCTAAATTATGTAATTGATTTGATTATTGTAAAAAGTTACAAAACTAAAAACTTAATAAATCACGAATGTTTTAAATAATTTCGGTTAGAAACCCGAAATTCCAAAATTATCAGGAACACTGCGTCGAAAATTTATGGATAGTGTTGCCAGGAATTTTGAATTAAAGTTTTAATAAACTTCTGTTAAGTTTTGTAAAAATTAATTATCAATTTTGTAACATGAAATCAGTATTCCTTTGAACCTTTAATACTAAATTCAACTAAATATCGTGATAGTTTTGTCATGTTGATTCAATAACAAAATGACAACGTTAAGTTTGAAAGTGGTAAAAAAAGGAACTACACATCTACAAGGAGATAATGTCATTATTTGACATATTTGCGTGGAAGAAGCGCCCTCCTTTACGTTTACGTGTTCATTGTACAGATAAAAAATAATTGCTCAAATCTACGAATCATAATCGATAAACTATTCACATGCACATCACTTTTAGCCATAGACTAAGATAAAGGAAGAAAAGAAAATTAATGTCAAAATTACACCAAAAATCCCAACCTGTGAATCAATCAATTAATTTTTCATCATTTTTACAGTGTAGTAATATAGTTCTAAAGCATTTATATATACAAAATGATGAGTGAATATACAGTTTCACATAAAGCTAAAAAGCGCATCAAAGAAGTTAAAAGGAAAGCCCGACCAGGTAAGTAAATTGTTAGACCGCAACAGCAAACAATTTCGAGGAACTGCATGTGTTTTATTGTAGCTTTTCACAATAAAAACATGTAAAATCGCATCGGACAAATATAATACTGTTATATTTGGTAAGCCTTAGTTCATTGTGGTAACATGTTAACAAAATTCTAGAAATCTCCACTCCCAAGTAGCGTGACATACTTTAGGGCGACCTCGACATAACATCGGCAGTTTCATTTCATTAGCTACCTAGGTTTTAGTTTCAGTTCTTTAATTAGGTACTTCATCAATTGCATGAACGAATAAAATACTGCAATGTTCTGTATGCTTAAAAGTGAAATTTGCCTAACCTCTATGCCTATGAAATCTTTGGTAGGTTCATTTTGCAATGATTGTGTATAATGTCGCATTCACACCACCTTTTCATTACTGTATTATGTTAAATAGTTTAATATCCTAACAGATCACATATTGATAGGACAATCATTGAGACTATGGAATCAACTTGACACCATATTTTATATTCTTTTAAATTCTCAAATGAATAGGTAGTTCAGTTTTTTTATTGGGGATAGCTGACTGATTGAAATAATGTAGGCATTTATGTAGTTGAATTAATACAATAATGCAATACATGTGACTAACATTACATTGATAATACATTGAGGCTTTTTTATTTCCAGAACTAACAAACAAACAACAATGGATGACGTTAAACTATGCTGAAAACTTTGAAGAGTTTTTAAAATGTAATGATAATGTTGAGAGAGTAGATAATAACAAAGTATCACCTGAAGAATTTATAGAAAAATATGAAAAAGTGTTTAAACCAGTTGTTATTACTAATGTACAGACTAACTGGAAAGCAAACCACAAGTGGACCTTAGATAGACTAGCCAAAAAGTACCGTAACCAAAAATTTAAATGTGGCGAAGACAATGAGGGTTATAGTGTTAAGATGAAAATGAAGTATTACGTCACCTACATGAAGACAACGACTGATGACAGCCCGCTTTATATTTTTGATAGTAGTTTTGGAGAGCATATGAGACGAAAAAAGCTTCTTGAAGATTACGAAGTACCAAAGTACTTCAGGGATGACCTATTTAAGTATTGTGGAAATGAGAGGAGACCTCCATATCGTTGGTTTGTGATGGGACCACAGAGGTCGGGCACCGGGATCCACATAGACCCTCTAGGTACTGGTGCTTGGAATGCCTTAGTGTTTGGTCACAAGAGATGGTGCCTGTTTCCGACACAGACTCCAAAAGAACTGATCAAAGTCACCGGCGCCATGGGCGGGAAACAGAGAGATGAAGCTATTACTTGGTTCAAGTTAATTTATCCTAAAACACAACTGGAATCTTGGCCACAAGAGTATAAACCGGTACATTGTGAAATAATTTATTTGATTGAGTTTTCTGATATGTTTTTCATATTGGTTCAACATGATAAAATTTTTGCATTTCTATTTCAGGTGGAAATCCTCCAGAAGCCTGGTGAAACGGTTTTTGTTCCCGGTGGTTGGTGGCATGTGGTGCTGAACTTGGATGACACAGTTGCTGTCACTCAAAACTTTTGTAGCCGTACCAATTTCCCCATTGTATGGCATAAGACTGTACGTGGTAGACCCAAACTGTCCAAGAAGTGGATCAAAGTTCTTGAGGCCAAAGAACCTGACTTATATAAAATAGCCAGTAGTGTTAACCTAAGCCAAAGCACTGGTGTAGCATCTGACAGCTCATCTAACAGCAGCTCCTCGAGTAGCGACAGCGAGAGCAGCTCTTCAGGCAGCTCCAGTGAGGACGACAGCGGCCAGGAGAGCATCTCTGCTCATAAGAAAAAGAAGAGAAGGAAAATTGGAGCTGAATAACGAAATAAACTAGAATATAACTTAAGTTTTGAAAAGATTTATACCACAAAACAAAAAAATTGCATTAGCAAAATATAAATCATTAATTATGTAAGCCTGCCCATTTTGTATTATTAGACTTATTTGATGAATTATTTAACTTTTTCTTTGTTGTTACATAGTGAACCTAACTATTATTTCGTTTGTTAACGGACAAGATAATTCTTTATCAATAAAGTATTATTGTAATAACATAAATGCGTTTAATTTTGATTTGTTAAGAAGTTGCTAACTAAAATTGGGTATTTCGCCGAAACAGTAAATTTTCTGTGTCCAGGCAGGCGAACACATGTTTTTTTATATCTATCTGTATAAAACTATTTTTATGAGAAAGTTCATCAAAAGTTTTATTTGTTTTTGCTATTACAATAGCAGAGACTACAAATAATACCGTAGAAAAACTTAATCAAAAGTCGTTTTTCTAATTTCCTTGTCATGTCCATTACTGTTGTTTGCCAAAATGAAGGCTCATTATAACAAATTGAAGCGTAATTTAATTCTTATAGCACTCTCTTTACATTTGAGAAACGTTTGGCTATCGGAAAATAAAAACTTTAAATGTCAAATACTTATAGGAAGAAAATAAAGTGAAGTTAAGTTCTTGTCCAGATCAAAAGTATAATTTCCCTGGGTCTTCGTTTCGACCATTGTTGTAACGAAACGAAAAAACTTAGAATGTAACGCACTGCACCACTACACTCGGCCATTTCGTCCCAAGAGGCCATTGAGGCAGGACAGCACGTCGTTGATCAGTTTCGCGACAAATCGCATAAATAGGTCCCTCCTTGGGTTTTTGTTTACTAAAAAGTCAATTTCTTTGGACGGTTTTTTGCAACTAAACAATGGATTAATTTTATTGTTTATTTACACAAATGTAGTGTCTGTAGGGGTAAACCCATGATTTAAATAGTAAATGTATAGGGTAAATAGGTTTTTGTCTGTGGTGTCTTTTAGGCATAAATCTAATTTCTTTGGTCCTAATTTCCTTGTTTTCCGTGGCATAAAATGACCTAGGAAATTATAAAAGACCATTAATAATTCGGCGTAAAGTCAAATTTTGAGTATTTCTTTATTGGAATAAGTTTAAAATTTAAATTTTAAGAAATAGGTATCAGAATAGATATAGAAAAACTTGTTTTTAACTTTTAACTCAATCTACTGCATTTATCTTCCTTAGTTATGTAAAAAGGTCGTAATGATATAATATTCATTGGCATGTTTGCTTGCGAAAGTACACAAAAATAGGTCGAACAAAAAAAAAGCAAACCACAGAAGAAAACTTAGAGAAAAAAATATTTATAATAATTTCCTTGGCTACCAAAAAATTATGACCTCATAACTTTGTTTCTAAAACGAATTATGACACCCCTTCTAGATATATTAGCTTAGTTTTTACTACTTAATGCAATGGGAAACTAAAAATAGTTAAAAACAGAAATAAAATTCGTGCCAAGGAAATTAGGCAAAATTGACCATTTTTGGCGAAATACCCAATTGCGCAGCACGAAGTTTACTGAGATCAGTGAAAGTGCGTAGCAAAGGCACAAGTTATTAAATTTTCCTTGATTAGGTTTTAAATAACCCACTTAGATTTTCTTTATTGGAAATATTTTTTTGTAAAGAATAACAACAGTCGATTTATTATTAGATTTTTGATAAGCTTAATCGAATACTAGAACAACACTAATTTGTCAAATTGGTAACTGGCATAGAATATTATTGTCTATGGTTTAGTGCAGCCATTTGTGAGCTCTGCCAAAGTTCCTGTGAAAACGTCTGATCAAAATGTTGAAATCAGCTACTGGCACATTAGCCAATGTCCTGAAAAGGTCCTTGGTCCCAGCAGTGAGGGTCAGTGCAGTGGTTCCTGCTAGGAGGGCGCATGGTGCCCCAGTGGAGTCTGATGAAGAATTCGATTGCAGGTTAGACCGAACCCTTTGACGTTATGTAACTTGAAAAGATAAATAGTCCTTTCGGCAGGATATATCTTCAATACTAGTCATATAAAAGCTTAATTAGTCGTCGGCTTAAGTGTGTTACACCACCCTGTAACTAGGTGTTTATATCTAAATCTTACTTGATAGCCATTACATTCTTATCTTGCCAATGCAGCCGTTTCATAGTTTTCATGTGCCATGTTTTTAAATTCTTAGCAGATAATATCCAATTTAACGTAAAAGCCACTTATATCCTGTTGTTAGTTAGTGTGTGTGTTAGCCAGTAGGTAAAGGTATTGATTTCATAGGAACTAGTTTTATTGATCTTTATTTTGACATTGCAGAGGTTCGTTTAACCTATCTTTGTTATCAGTCTGTGTATGTATAGTAAGAACATACTAAATAGGTAGGACATACTAAGTTGTTGGGGTGCTTAGGATGTAATCTTCCAATAATCAAACTTATTAGATTTACTTCACATTATTGATTACAATTATGTTTTATCTATTTCAGATATGAAGCATTCTTCAACAGAAAAGACATTGATGGCTGGGAGATCCGCAAGGGAATGAATGACCTCTGTGGTATGGATCTGGTGCCCGACCCAAAAATCATCAAAGCTGCTCTGCATGCCTGCAGGCGGGTGAACGACTATGCGCTGGCTGTCAGGTTCATCGAGGCTTGCAAGGACAAGTGCGGGCCCAAAGTTAACGAAATCTACCCATACATTATCCAGGAAATCAAACCCACACTAACTGAACTCGGCATTGAGACTCCAGAGGAACTTGGTTATGACAAACCAGAATTAGCTTTAGAAAACGTTTATGATATGTAAGGTTGTCAAAATAAGCTGTAGAAAATTTGTATAATAGTTTTGTTGTCGACTTTTATTTTACACATAATTGTGAGAAGACGTGTCTTCAAACTCAAGTATTCTTGGTCCACCATTTAAATCGACGTGCTTTGGTCTAATGTATAAACGTTAGAGAATTATGTGATTTGTTTAATTTAAAATATCCTCTTGCCCACTTCCTATAAAAAATAATAGGGTGATGATATTTGAATGAGGCTACATAAACACATACAACATAGAAAACTAATATCTGTTCCACCACATTTTTAAACTAATATCAGGTAATGAGGGGCTGAATAGCTGTTTGATTGTTTAATTTTCATCATTAAACTTAATGTAGGTAGCTAGTGCAGCCCAGCTTAAAATAAACAAAAATTTTAAAATTTTTATAACAGAGAGGATCACTCAATTCACATGCACATATTTTATAACTCTATGCAGCAGGCACATATTATAAAGGATTGTAGTTAGGCAATTGTTGCAAATCTAATGAATTTGAAAGTAGTACCACAGAATAATAAGCCTAGGTACTGGATTCATTACTGTACAACCAATTACTAATGTGAAACTTCCCTGCAGTTACACTTGACTCGTACCAAATTATTGGTGAGAGTGGGGGAGAATAAAGTTTTATTTACATAACATAATTCCTCCCACTTTTAATGCACCCAGGTGTAGTTTAGGTGAATTACCTTGGGTGAATAAGGTTTACGATCGAATTCTTTGCCCCCAGCCCAGCCCCCAGGGCGAATCTGGTAGGCGTAACTGGGAATCCTACTTATACCCACTAATAAAATGCGAAAGTTTGTATAGATATTTGTTACTCTTTCATGAAACACTACTGAACGGATTTTGATGAAACTACAATATTATCTAAACATGAAATAGGCTATAATTTATTACGATCTGTGACAAGCGATGCCGTGGGCTAAAGCTAGTAAACCAAAAATAATTTGGATCTAGGCGAGTCACTCCTCGTAAGTATGCTTGGTGGACTCAGACGTATGGACGAGGATGAGGAAAGTTGGAATCGTGCGAACAGAGGGATTTAAGATATTTTTGTAGTAACCACCAAATAAAACTAGTTTATACGTAAATATTTTAATGATTGCAATATTCACACAGTCATACTCATTTATTTACAATCACAAATCATTCACTTAACAACATAATTGTGCTTTTTAATCATTATTAGGTTTTACAGGTCAAACACAATATTGTCAATTATTGTTGAGAAATAATAAATAAACAAAAAAATTATAAATAAAAAAAAACAACAAAGGAAAATAATACAATCTTTTCTCACAGAAAACAAAATAAATATTATAAATAGTTACTCACTTTTGTACTCTTCTATTCGCCTAACTTATTTGACTAGACCCGACTATAATTTAATTTTATTCTAAACGTTTAACGTAAATCATCAATTTAAAAAATGTCGATGGCTATAACACTGGAGAATTATCCGGAACCTATCTACATAGCTCCAAATTGAAATATATTACAAGTACAATTACTAGTTTTGAAGTCACATCTATACACATAGTAGTTTAAACATCCAGATGCCAACCTCAACCTGATCACCCTGCGCCAGAATTATATCTTTCTGTTATAGAATATTATACAATACTGTCGACTATTAAATTACATTTATTTTAAAATTCACCTAGTTAAATATATTACAAAACTTACTCGAATATTAAATATAATATTTATATTGAAAATCATGGCATCTCATCAGTGTAGTTCCATAATCCTATGGTAGACTAGAAAGTTTCATCCGTGACTTGAAGAAGACTAGAATAAATAAATAAGTGGGCGCAACAAACGTAAAACCAAATAAATTAAACGTGAACAACAACGTACTCAACAAACTCGTAAATAAATTAAGGAATGTAAATATAAACGCTCATCATCGCGCGCTCGCTGCCGTCACCGACGACCCGACGCGACAGACGCAAGAAATATATCGTCGTTGTAAAAAAATATTGCACAAATCTATTTCCCGTTGGCGATTTGTATCTAAAATATTCAATAAATTAAGTCTCATTTCATAATACTAATCATAAGTTATCGACATCCTGTCAAATTATGAGGACGTGACCCATTGCCGGGGTCTTGGTCTCGACGGATTAGGAATAAGGAATATGCACGTTTACAAACATCATCTATGTAAAAAACACAGGGAAGAGTTTAACAAAATATACACATTAAGTATTGCTTCAATATAGAGGTGCTAATAAGTTTAAAAAAAGTGAAAAATCATCAAGTTTCAATTGGAAGCATAGGCTTGCGACCTTATCTTTTTTGCAAACCATTAGTCTGTATGACTACAGCTTGAATTTTAGGTTTAATTAATATGGCGACAATCTACGGCAACACTGAATCGCCCCATGCACGTCGAGATCGAAGTAGTCGGCCACACGGTCACAAAAATGTGGCAGTTTATAAGGCCTTTTAGTTAGGCAGATTACTCCTGTCTGGAGACGCCACCTTGCGGTGGTTTAACGGGCCTCACAACAGAACTATCAATTTGTCTCTCACTCCCAGCACCTCTTTGACTGAGAGATGGATACATCCGACTTTATTGCGAGGTAGGCTTCAAATATACTCTTTGTATTGTTATATCACATTCTGTTTTCACTGTTCTGTAGTCTTATCCGGTAGTGGGCGGGGCCGGGTGCTCCCGCCCGGAGCGGGTGCATATTCCTCGCTATGTGCGCTCCTGCAGCAGGCCTGGCGACGCGGGCGCCACGAGGCTCAACAGCTAGGAATCCGCCACAACCGCGTCGCGTTCGGCCTTCACTTGCTAGAAAATAGAATGTTTCTTTGAAATTAACGTTGTTTTATGCGCATTATGTTTTGTTTATGAACTATTGTTAGGTGAATCATCATTAGTTATGTATTTTGTACCTTGGCTACTTTAGAATGCGCGACCAACGTGAAGAATTAAACAAATATATCAGGATGGTTGCGAGTTGGAAAAACAAGTTTTATTTGGTCGAAGTAATTTCCAGTTTTTGGGAAGCCAGCAGAAGTCTGCTATATTTTTTTTAAATAGCCTTGGACATTTTTTTACACTGCACCTCTAGTCCCAAACTAAGCAGAGCTTGTACTATGGGTATTAGACAACGGATATAAACATCTTACGCCCGTATTCACAAACATGCTTGCTTAAGCGAAGCAGTAAATCGAACGCATAGCGTTGAATAGAGCTCTAAAACATTTGCATGCTAGTTCAAATCTGGTGAATGTGTTCTGCTCTATCTTATTATGTAACATCCGTAAAAATCTAATATACCACATTCTGCAAATAAATAATTTTCGTTTTCATTTTTCTGATCGGTTCGAATGTCACCCTGTGCGTCCACGCGCACTGCGAGACCTCATAGTAACGTTTGTGTATACGGGCGTTGAATATATTTATAGTCTGGTCGCCGAGCACGTAGAATTTTGTCCAATGACCCCAAGCTACCCATCCTTATCGCTCGCGCGTAATTATATTGCTGTCGCTACTGTGCGACGGGCGCCCGCAGTGAGTGTGCGAGCGCAACAGCATAAGGATGGGTAGCTTGGGGTCATTGGACATCTACGTGCTCAGAGACCGGGCTTTAGATGTATTACGTGTGTGGTACTGACGGGCTCGGCGGGCGGGTCGAGGTGTCCGACCATGGCCTTGAGCGCGGACGCGTCCTTGAGGCTGAGCACTTGCAGGACCTGTGCGTCGCCGCCCTGCAGCACGACCTGCGCCACGCCGCCGCCCATAGACAGCGCTTCCAGCGCCTCGCCGCCCTGCTCCACCTAAAACACGCGCGCATAAATACATGTACGTAGCTGGCTAACGGTGCAAAAAAGTTTACAGCGACAAAAAAAGAAAAAAATAAAGAAAGCTGGCAAGCGCTCTAAGGCCTCAGCCTCGAACTTAGCGGGCAGCGGGGCGGCGGCGGCGACGGCGCGGGAGCGGCAGCGGGCAACGAGCGGGCAGCGCACTCCTTCTTTTGCCCACAATAAATCGAGCGTTAGGAATAAATTTGAATCGAAATAAAATTGTCGCCGTTGTTCAGACATTTCGTTTGCGAATAAAAACAAATATCTCGACAACACAACCCCGAACACAACACTTCGCCGCTAAAGCGCCGCGGGAGCTGCCCGCTTGTTTCGAGAACGGGTCTGCGTTGCCCGGCCTGCTCCCGCGCCGCCGCCGCTCCCGCCCCGCTGCCCGCTAAACTCGAGGCTGAGGACTTAAAGGTTACTGACTGAATGATTGTCTGATACCTATCAAATAAACGAAAATAAGCATTACTCAACTGCGCCAGAAGGAGAATGAAATGTAAGAATTAAAGATTACACAACTATTGAGTTCGTTTAATAAAGTAGTGGGAATAATTTGTAGTAGAAAAAAAGACAAGTTCATGTAAAGTTAACTTTAATGTAATCCATTTTGTCAACTTATCAATCATTTAATTTATTAGATTATCCTGAAATAATACTAAAACTTACTACTATTATACTAGTAGGTACTACATTTGTGTAGAACGAAAAAAAAAACAATTATTATTAAAATTTTAACTTTATGGATCATAAAATCACAATAGCTGAGCTAATCTTAAGTCAAAACTTATAATCAAATTGAAAATAAACCCATGTTTTATTAAAGTAGATAATAAAATCACTAACATTTAATACTAATTTCATTTATGAGAATGTATTTTATACCTGATAGGGACCGCAGGGATCGGCAACCACTTGAGATGGAAGAGTCAAAAATGAGTGACAAAATTAGTTCTTACATTTGACGACTTCTGTGTTCGAGTTGGTGGTCACCTGTTTTCATGGTGCATCAACTTGAAGATTTTTGATGTTTATGACTTTTGATAATACGGATAGAACTGTAAACGTAACTTAAATCGCATGAGCCGCATGTTGCCGACCCCTGGTCTACAATATCTATTTTAAAAGTTAATTTCTTGGCAGTTATGTTTAGTTTGGTGCAAGTTTGCTGGCACGCCTAGTCCTTATCGAGCTGGGCGTGGAGTTGGCGAGGCGAGACGAGGTTCGGGTGGGCGTGGCCCTGCCAGTCTCCTTAACTTCTGCCTTCAACGCTTCCACTTTATCTTTGGCTTCTTCTTTCTCGACTTGCTCTGTTTCACCGGGTTTCACTTCTACCACTTCTGCGTCTTCATCGTCTATGACTTCTGCCACTTCTGCGTCTTCTGTAACTTCTTCCACTTCGTCTTCTGCCACTTCTTCCCCCTCTGCCATTTCTGCGTCTTCCGTTTTCTTTTCATCGCCGTTAGCGTCCGTCCCATTGACGGCCGCTTCACTCTCGCCTTCATCCAACGCCTCACTTTGAGGTTCTACCACCGAATCTGTTCCCGGGTCATTGGAGTCAATGCCCTCCTCTTCTTTCCTTATAGACGATAGCAAGTCGGTGATCTGCTCGTCCAAGTCTGAACTGATGACCTTTTCTGACTCCGAGCTATTCAATGACTCGTTTTTGTTGTTTCTTTCATTGGCTGTGATGATTAGCTTGGAGTTTCCTGGAAGGAATTGATAGATGATTAGTGATTACATACATATTTATGCAAAAATATACGATTGATGGTACCATCCTCTGGATTCGTGATTCGCGCACCGGACTACATTGTCAACTATAAGTCAAGCGTTTAAACCTTTACCTGGTAGTGGCAGAATTGTTGCCACCATATTTTGAACCTTATTGAGAAAACATAAGGTTCAAAACTAATGAAAAATATTTTTCTCTATACCAGTTAACCCTTTAACTACCCATACCTCAGGCACTGCCTGAGGTATGGGCGCGGCGTGAGCCGGTGTCTTTGAGTCGTCAAATGTCAGCGAGACTTGAATTTTACATTGAAGTTTATATGGTAGGCATTTTTTTGCGATTTGTGTTTTATTTCCCCCACTAAAGTTAATGTAGGTACTAATAAAAAATGGTCTATAGTCTGAGGTGGAATTGTGTAAAGCAATCGTTATCATTTGACAGTTCATAACGTAAGATAAAGTCAGTTAAACAAAGCGTTTGACAGAATAATCGTACGTTATGAACTGTTACGGAGCACGTAGAATTTTGTCCATTGACCCCAAGCTACCCTTCCTTATCGCTCGCGCGTAATTATATTGCTGTCGCGACTGTGCGACGCGCGCCCGCAGTGAGTGTGCGAGCGTGACAGCAACATAATTACGCGCGAGCGATAAGGATAGGTAGCTTGGGGTCATTGGACAAAATTCTACGTGCTCAGAGACCGGGCTTTAGTAATATCTTGTGCACTTACCAACAACGGTTTCCTTGACAGCAACGATCTTGTCGAAACCCTCCTTGTTGTCGAAAGCGACAAACAACAGATCTATCTTCCTGTGTTTCTTCACGGAGCTCGGATTGAACTCGTCCAGGAAACTGCGCATCATCTTGCGGGTAGGCAGCGTCGGCTGGCCAGTTATCTGAAACATCATCAGGTCATTAAGGCTGGGTTGCACCATCTTACTTTAACTTTGACAAATGTCAAAAATCTGTCAAACTCCATACAAAAAACACCGGTTATCGTTATAGTTATGGTCAAAATTAGGTAGTGCAACTCAGCCTTAGTCTCTAATTTACCAGAGAGAAGTAAAAGATTTGACCAAAGGTTAGGGAGAAGCCACACGGTGCGTTCCGGCGCCGCACCGCACTTCGATTGAACGAGACGGTGCCGTATTGCGGCGCCGCACCGCACCGTGTGGCTTCTCACTTATGGGACTATCCCCACTTTGATCGCGAATAAAAACCCAACCAGAGAAGCCCACGCTTTTCGCGGGGGTAAATTAAACCATCATCGCACCCGCAACAATATTATAATTCAACAAAGGCGCAAACCACCAAGTTTTAATTCGCCGATAGTTGGTCGGGAGTCGGTCTGTTGATCATTATGTAGATGTATGAAAGTGCGCACATTACACCGGCCGATTCAGTCCGTCTGGCCACTGCCTTTTTCATCACAAAGTTTCGTTCGTTTCAGCCGAAAGACGTCCACTGCTGGACAAAGGCCTCCCCCAAAGATTTCCACAAAGACTGGTCTTGCGCCGCTCGCATCCAGGCACCTACCGCGACCTTCACCAGATCGTCGGTCCACCTAGTGGGCAGGCCGCCCACGCTACGTCTTCCGGCTCGTGGTCGCCACTCAAGAACTTTCCTGCCCCAGCGGCCATCAGCTCTCCGACCTATGTGCCCCGCCCACTGCCACTTGATTTCAGCACAAAGTTTACCTATTATGTATATCGAAAATTTAAACTCACCTTAACCAAGTAAGCGAATTTAGACCCCAACTTTTTTGAGTAATCGGAAACGTCAGCTTCTTTCTCGGTCGCGCTCAAGTCGATGGTGGAGTTCAAACTGGCCGCTTGCTCAACCCTGTTCTCAATATTCAAACGCTCTTGAGTCTTCTCAAATATTGCCGTTTTAGTGACTCGGTATAAGGAGTTGGCGTTCAATAACTTCAGCATTAGCTGGAAGAATAATCAGAAGTTGGTGTTAATAAAAGTTTAAGGTGCATGCAGATTGCAGAACTAAGCTCAATACTATACTTACGCCTGTATTCACAAACATTACTATGAGGTCTCACAGTGCGCGTGGAGGCACAAGGTCACACGCGAACCAATCACAGAGCTCTATTCAACGCTGTGCGTTCGATTTGCTGCTTCACTTAAGCAAGCATCGTTTGTGAATATGGGCGTTAGTTAATAACCTTATTAACGTGACTTTGGCGGAATTCATTGGGAAGGTCATTTTGTGGGCAGTAATATCCCAAACCTTTTCATAAACAAAATAAGAAGAGGGCTTTAGTCAATAATTACAATCACGTACGTACGTTATATCCTACTATTTACACTTATAATTTATGATAGACTGAAATAAGTGCAATACTTACTGGTTTATATTTCGGCAGAATCATAGTCAATTTGTGTTTAAGCAATACCCCGATGAGATCATCAATTTTCTTCCAGTCGGGTTTTCGTTGCCCAGTAGCTTCTGTTTTCTTGTCCTTATCTTCGGCAGGCTTGTCACTGTTCTCCGCAGGTTTGTCACTTTCGGCAGGTGTTTCTTCAGTTTTAACAGCCGCTGGTGTACTATCGACAGTTGTTTGAGCATCATCAGTAGTATTTGACGTTTCTTCCTTATCTTTTTCAACCGTATTTTCAACAGCCTCGCCATTTTCGCCTTTATTCGCATTTTCAGTCCCTTCAGTGGAATCTTTTTTGTCCTTTTCTGTAGCTGAGACATCTTTAGTGAGGTCTGCGGCTTCCTTGATAATTTGATTGCAAATCTCTTTAGTTTCTTCGGCATCCAGCTCTTCGTATAATCCTTGAAGCTGCAATGTAGTATTTAATGTTAGCATACATAATACAATTTAAAAAAAAAGAAAAAAAAACCAATCCTATACCTTGCTGAAGACATCATCGAGGGTAACTCCAATTAGTTTGTTCATATTAGTCTTCATGTACATAAATGCACTCCCTGTAAATATTAAGGATGAATGAATTCATGTTAGGATTCGAAAAATTAACTTTCTAAAAAAACTTCAAGGTTCTGTTATTTCAGTCCAGTATAGGTGTCATATTGTTGCCACAGTGGGGACGAAAAGATGAAAGTTTCTTGTGCACTGAGGCAAGAAACCACATACTTTAACCTAACAACTTTAAATAACAACAATGTTATTTAAAACATCGATGAAATAATGCTCTAAGAAACCGTACCTTCATCAAGAACAGCACTCCTTCAAAAGATTGAACACTAAATGTATCGCTTTCGAAGGAACGCTCGAAATTGGAAGGTGTTAGGGTTGCCAGATCTTAAATCGGGAAGCCGGATTGGTCGGCCAGTTTAACCGAACATTAGGCTGACAAGATCCGTAAGATCTCTAGACTCATTATGATATTTGATAAGCAAGACTGGCCGGTCAACGTCCAGTTCGGACAGTTCAAAAGGCCAAACCACGCCCGGCTCTACTCCGACTGGCAACCCCACGTAGTGTCGGCATAACTACCTGCGCTGTCTAGTTCTATGGCCAGTTTCTTCGGCGGAACATTGTTCTGTTCGTCCAGCGCGATCTGGATGATCTCAACGTCGGTGCCGGGCGGGAAGGCGCGGCGGTAATGGCCCACGATGGAGTCCACTTTGCCCACGGCCTTGCCCAGCATGACGGAGCGCAATCGCTCGCGGATGGCCTGCTTCATCTTGCGCGCCAGCACCTGCGACTGGAAGGTCACGTGCTCGGCGGCGCCGTACTTCGTCTTGATCTCTTTCACGATCTGCCCCAGCGCCAGCTCCAGGCGGCCCGCCATCTGCTGCGACGGCACCACGTCGGCGCGCAGGACCAACTCAGAGCCCGACAAATTCTCATCCTTCGCGGCCATCTTGACGGCTGGAGTCGGAACGGCGGCTTTGCCCTGCGCCGGTTTCGGCTTGGTGACCTTCGTCGGTCTGAAATCTCGCTGCGGCGGTTTCCCGCCCTTGGGGGAGTTGTTGAATCTCTGACTGGGGAAATTGGGCTTCGAAGCCCCGAAGTTTTTGGGCTTGGTGTCCCACGGCTGCCGCGAGGGCTGCTGGTTGAAATGGGAGAACGACCCCGAGTTGTTCCCGCCAAACTTTTTCTTGGACCCGCCCTGGGGTCCGGAGAAACGTTTGGCGGTCACGTTGGATTGGGATGCCCACACGGGCGGCCGCTTGCCCAGCAGACCGGAGGAGCCGCCGCCGATACCGAACTGCCCAGGCTCATTGTAATAGGCAGAGAAACCCGAGTCGCTGTTAAACGGTTGGTGTTGCCCTTGGAACAACTGATGAGGCTGATTGCCAAATTCGAACGGACTCTGAAAAGTAATAATACATAACAAAGTTAAGTAACGTTGTTAACAGACATGGCAATTTTAAATGGTAATCAATATTGATGCAACTATGTAGATGCGTCGGCAGACTCACATTTCAAATTGCCTTGTTGTGTTACTAAGATATTCTGTTCTCAAAATCGCATGAATTTTTTTACCTTTATTGGTATAAGTATTCTGCAATTTCATAAACAAGGTGGAGGTACTCTAGAACACCCTATACTTGTTTTAGTCAGAACAGAATATCACAGTAGGAACTCTTAAGAAAAAAATTGCTACTTTTGAATCTTAGCACAGTAGAATGCCTCATGCTCATGTATTGGTATTGAAAAAAGCATACTTACATAATAAAAATATATTAAGATGAAAATTTTGAAACCCTCATAATTACACAAAAAAAAATAGTACAGGTTATGAAGTGTACAGGAATTTCACTTTTAGAGTTCCATAGTCCTGACAAGGAACCTAAGTTTTGTCATAAGTGTCTGTGTCTAAGTTAAAATGAGTGAAAATTAGTTTTAACTAGGAAAAACGCATTCTTCCAAAATGATTCAGTTAAAACTATTTCATTTAACTTTTTAAGCACTCACTTAGCAACGTAAGCACATGTTTTGTGTATCTTCCTTTTTGATATTATAAGTTACTAGCGACCCGTCCCTGCTTCGCACAGGTACAATGTATTATATTTAAAAATCCTCTTGAATCACTCTAGCTATTAACATAAACCGCATCAAAATCCGTTGTACAGTTTTAAAGATCTATGCATTCATAGGGACAGACAGCGGAGAGCGACTTTGTTTTATACTAGTGGTGAAGGTAACCATACAAACTTACCGGCCGGTTGAATGCCTTTTTCTTGGTGAGCATTTGCTGCTGCTGCTCAATCATCTCGCGCTTTCGCTTCAGCAACTCCAGCTCCAAGTCCAGATCCTAATAAATATACTCTAGTTGTACAGGCAGGAAACATCCAATGATCATACCACACAATGTTTTGAAGGTTAACAATTTTCTACAAAATAATTTGCGTGTAGGAAAGACTTTTGTGCTCAAAATCGATTTTTACTCTGAGTGTATGATTTTGAGCTACAGATTATTGTAATGGCGATAAATTTTTCGATTCAGACCCTTGTCCTGAGTCTGAGCCCTGAGGCATGGTGTTTTGGAATAAGTATTATTACTATACACAGACATTCTGTAATGTTTCACATTTTCTACACTACAGCCAATAAATTACATTGACCTAACGGGTTTTTCGGATGTCATCAGACGTGGTATTTTCGCTTACAATGCACACTTCCCTTGTTCACGATTTTAGAACTATGTATATATAATATTTAACTGTATTCATATTGAAGTAAATCATTTACAGTTACAAGGTTTTCCATGAAAAGAATCAATAAAATTCCTCTTACTTGAAGTTGAAGGTGCTCGGTCATCAGTGGCCCACCATGTCCTCCTCGGGGAGCATTATTACGTCTCATTTTCACAAATTCAAAGGTAACTCGAAAAAACAAGAAGCCGAGCTGGAAACTATGACTATTTCCAAAAGAATAACGTTTTTTAATAAAATTTACAAGCAGTTTTCACGAATTTTACGAAATCTGTGGGTCGGCGATTCCACAGATTAGAGAGTATGTCTAAAGACAGATAGGAAACGGCCCTAGTATTTGTTGAACGATAAACAAACTGGTACCGAGCTAGATTGTCCAGTAGGTGGCGCTGTAAACAATATGGCGTCTGCCGCCCACAGATTAAATATATACCTCTCATACTTTTTTTATGATCCGTTCCGTTTCATGTAATGTGTTTAAAAATAAAACTATTGAAGTATAAAATAAAACTTTATTGATGAAATATAACATGAAATATTTTGTTTACGAAAATCAATAAGCAATAAAACTACTGGATTTTAAAAGATTACAGTTACTGTTGTGATAACAGTACATTGTTTTAGTTTTTACATTATGTACTCACGGATTGACATTTGTATGTAACTCATATAAAATATGTTATAGTAAAATAGTTTAATGTTCTCCATAAATTCACACGTTCACTCTCACGTTGGTTCTGTCCACTCCACTGTAAGCAGGCCAGATCTACATGTTTCTCACCACCTGTAAAATATATGAAATATTTAGAGCAAAAAGTCACCGTAAGTCTGTAATCTTCTACATCTACATTCTACACTAATATTGATTGAACGTTTTATCGATTACACTGAGATTCGATTCTAAATATTATAGGATTCTAGACTTCTATCAACTATACAAATTCCTCTATGACTATACATGAATCACCATTTAGATTTGTGACATCAGAACTGACCTACCCTTAATACTGCCTTTCCTGTACCATCTGCTCATACAATTTTCCCAAACCCTTCTTTCCTATCCTACAGGTTGCTCCAAGAGATGTGTATGACCTCGCCGATTTCTTAGAAGCGGAAAGAAAGAGAATAGAAGCTGCCGCGCCTAAGAAACGCCGTGCCTCCGACCTTTTGAGAATGCAAAACTGACAAGTGCGGCTTTATACAGGGTATCCCAGAATGGGTGAATCAAACTGATAGGGGAGGTAGCTCTACTAATGTACTATCCCAAAAAAATATGAAAAAAAATAAAGCGCATAAGGAAACAAAAAAAAAAATATGAAAAAGTGAAAATAAATCAGCTTTGCCTAAGTAGCTGCGTTTGGTGTTTATTTGTACTTTTTCTTACTAATATTGATCGCTTCGTTTATCTGTAAACAAACTTTTGAAAATAATGACTAGATTTCGAGTTTAGAGCACTTTATTTAAAAAAAAAACCGACCTCAACCTCCTAGCTACCTCCCCTATCAGTTTGATTCACCCATTCTGGGACACCCACCCTGTATAATAACTCCACATCCACTGTGTTCCTTTCCCTTTCCTTGTTAACATAACAGTAGTTGATAGATAAATAAGTTATTATCGTAGGTTGTTAACTGATAAGAATTTAAGCAAACTAACTTTCAGTACCTAAATAAGGTCTGATATTTTAGCTACATTTGTCTAATTTAAAGTATTTTATATTTTCAGGTAGAGGATGAAATTGTGGAAACTGCTGAGCCACCGAAATGAATGTTTGAAACGGCACAATACTAAAAAAACACCACTCATCACTCTATTTAGATTAAAATTTAATGTATTGCAATGAACTCAAAATAAATACTCAACACTGAGTCAATCATTTATTATTTAACTTAGAATAATCATTACAAATTACATTTGTGATACCTTACATTTAGGACTTTAAATAATAACTAAATATTTCGATACAGCAGTGTATCTGTAACTTATTTCTAATCTACGTCAGATCCGCTGCATTCGTCCAGGACAATGCCTTCAGATATTAGAGCTAGAATGTCGTGGTCATCTAGTTCTTCAAAGTCATCTTTTTCAATTGCTTTTTTGGTAGCCTTTTTGTTAGGGAAAGTCATTCTTTTAGCAGGTGGTCTTTTAGGTGTGACCACTTTTTTGGTTACTTTAGTATTCGATGGAGTTGCTGCTTTCGCAACGGGTTTAGATAAGGTTTTAACGTTAGTTGTATTCTTAGTTTGTGCTGTAGCTTTCACTGTGTTCTGAGTTTTGGCAGCAACTGTAGCATTAGTCTTGGGAACTTCATCCTTATTACTAGTCTGAGCTTTATTTGCAACTGGAGTTTTGGCTTGTGCAACTGTGGGCTTAGCTGGTGCAACTTTAGGCGTTGGCGTTTCAACTTTAGGCGTCGGAGTTTCAATTTTTGCTTTAGGTGCTTCAACTTTAGCTACCGGTGCTGCAACTTTAGCCGCCGGTGTTGCAACTTTAGTCGCCGGTGTTGTAACTTTGACCGCCGGTGTAGTANTGCAACTTTAGTCGCTGGTGTTGTAACTTTAGCCGCCGGTGTTGTAACTTTAGCCGCCGGTGTTGTAACTTTAGCCGCCGGTGTTGTAACTTTACCCGCCGGTGTTGTAACTTTGGCTGCCGGTGTTGTAACTTTAGTCGCTGGTGTTGCATCTTTAGCCGCCGGTGTTTCAACTTTAGCCGCCGGTGTTGCAACTTTAGCCGTCGGTTTAGGTGTTGTTGCAACTTTAGGCGCTGGTGCTGGTTTAGTGGCTTCAGTTACTGGAGTAGTTTGTGCTTTAGTAACGGGATTATNGTTTTCAGTTACTGTTGCCATTAAAAGAAATTAGTACCATGGCGCAACATGGCGAGGGTTTTTATGTTCCTGGTCAGGCTATACTATGACTTACCGCAATGAATACTCTTGGCGGTGCATAGCGCGTCAAAATCAGCGATGCCCTTGACCTGCGCGGCGAACGTGTTAACGACCCCCGCCAGCCGTTTGAACGCCACGAAGTTATATCGCTTCAGGAAACTGCTTAAGTACTTTCTGTCCGGCTTCGTCGTGAAATGCACCTGGAGAAACAGTATGCATCATAAAAAAATTGAAGTAAATTAGGTACGTCCCGCGGGTGTCGTAAGAGGCGATTTAGAGACTACACATCAAACTGAGAACGGGCAGCAGCGCTCTCTAAAAAACATCAATCTTTGAAACTGCGATCTCCAACCCGCCTGCCAAGCGTGGGGATTATGGCATAACCCTCCACTATGGTGGAGGAGGCTCATAGTCCAGTAGTGGACTGATGATGATGATGAGGTACGTGTAGGAAAGGAGAAGTCTATGGTGGTCTCCAAGGGCCATTGGGTATACAATTCCCATTTTCAAGTCGCAAAAATAGGATAGGTCTATGTAATTGCAGATATTTTTATGTAGATTATTTACCTTGACATTGAGAGGATTGAAGACGTTTACCAGTCTCTCTGTCACGTTCAAACCGATTACCTGAAAGTTATATAAAATTGTATTATAAAGCCCGGTCTCTCTGCACGTAGGATTTTGTCTAATGACCCCAAGCTACCCATCCTTATCGCTCGCGCGTAATTATGTTGCTTTTGCGCTCGCACACTCACTGCGGGCGCCCGTCGCACAGTCGCGACAGCAATATATAAGACTATACTTAATTTAATCTAAACCATTGTACCTATTCTTTGCAAATAAATACTTTGACTTTGACTTTAATTCTGATAAAGACGATAGCGTGGGAGAAAGATATTAATTAATGTGAAAAGTATGAGAATTTAATCTTAGATGTTTATAATAACTACTTAATATAGTTATTTTATAGTATACGCGTTGTTATAAAACATTTATTACTTTACTAGAAATATTTCTTTAAGTCTATGTTCACCACGACTTACTTTTTTGAGCTCATCACCGGCGTCGTTCTTCCACCGCTCCACTACTTCTTTTTCGGCTTCGTCGGCTGTGTCCGCACTCTCTGGCAACACTTGATTCATCTAAATAATAAAAAAACGTTATTGATAAGTATTACCCATTACTTTTTAAATTCACAATTTCAGTCAAAGGAGTTGGACAAAGGCATGTCACGATAGCCGATGTGTCGGACTGGCTGACTCGACGACATTCAAGGAACGCGGGTTTACCACGAGGAGCTAACGGGACTTTTAGTAATTTGTGTAATACAAATAAAAGGCCTCTCAAAAAAAATAAAAAATCTTTCAACTACGACCGGTTCTACGCTCCCCGCATTTAGGTGCTTTTCGGGACCATTACCCGGTCGTCCGTCCACCGAGTAAAAATCGTAATATTTCGGAAGCATTTTCTATCGTGAGACGTGATAGTTTTCCAAATGAACTAGTGTGTAAATTCTCTTGTCCCATTTGATTCATGCGTACCGCCGCTCCTTTGCAGTGCAGTTCTATGAGAGGTTTACGTAGCTGTTAGCTGGCTAGAGCTCGGTGATGATGATGATGATGATGATGATGATGATGGTGACGTTACCGTGAACATGAGGTGCTCCAGCTCGGCCTTGAGCGCGCGGTAGGAGCGCTAGAGCTCGGTGATGATGATGATGATGATGATGATGGTGATGTTACCATGAACATGAGGTGCTCCAGCTCGGCCTTGAGCGCGCGGTAGGAGCGCGGCCCGATCTCGTACAGTCCCTCCGAGTTGGCTGGCGAGAGCGGGTGATGATGATGATGATAATGATGATGATGATGATGATGATGATGTGATAGTTTTCCAAATGAACTAGTGTGTATTCTGTTGTCCCATTTGATTCATGCGTACCGCCGCTCCTTTGCAGTGCCGTTCTTTGAGAGGTTTACGTAGCTATTAGCTGGCTAGAGCTCGGTGATGATGATGATGGTGATGATGATGATGATGATGATGATGATGATGATGATGTTACCGTGAACATGAGGTGCTCCAGCTCGGCCTTGAGCGCGCGGTAGGAGCGCGGCCCGATCTCGTACAGTCCTTCCGAGTTGGCTGGCTAGAGCGGGTGATGATGATGATGATGATGATGATGATGATGTTGTTACCGTGAACATGAGGTGCTCCAGCTCGGCCTTGAGCGCGCGGTAGGAGCGCGGCCCGATCTCGTACAGTCCTTCCGAGTTGGCTGGCGAGAGCGGGTGATGATGATGATGATGATGATGATGATGATGGTGACGTTACCGTGAACATGAGGTGCTCCAGCTCGGCCTTGAGCGCGCGGTAGGAGCGCGGCCCGATCTCGTACAGTCCTTCCGAGTTGACGACCGCGTGTGGCGCTATTGCGGCCGCTGATTGCGAGCTGGTTAGAGGTTTCTTGATTGGTGGTGCTGGGGGAAAATAAAAACGTATTCATGCATGAATAAGAGCTCTAATTTATCTCATTAGGCCACCATAGCGGCGATATAGGTCTATTGTATGACGTGACAGAGCATACAAGTCACATCTGAAGTCTCGGTGACGTTAGACGTCACAAAAACACCCTTCCGCGCCGCTGCCATACCTCAGGCAATGACTCTGAAGAGCTAAAGCCTGGTCCGTGAGCACGTAGAATTTTGTCCAAAGACCCCTAGCTACCCATCCTTATCGCTCGCGCGTAATTATGTTGCTGTCGCGCTCGCACACTCACTGCGGGTGCCATTGACACAGTCGCGACAGCAATATAATTACGCGCGTGCGATAAGGATGGGTAGCTAGGGGTCATTGGAAAAAATTCTACGTGCTCAAGGACCGGGCTTCAGAACTATGATACATCGTCGCTTGCCTCTCTAACTGACGTAACTGACATTTTTCAAAATTTTCAGGCGAGTAGACAGATCGATTCGTCTTGCAAAATTGATTAAGATGGTGTAGATAACTCCGTTTCGAAAAAAATGTCAGATACGTCAGTTAGAGAGGCAAGCGACGACATATTTGTTGAATGCCTTTAGGGCCTAGCTATCTCTTTAAGACACCACTGTGATGCCACCGTAGTGACTTGTGCTTGTGCTACTAAATAGTTAAAATATTTTTTTTTATTGCTGGCAACCAAGTTGATACCAGGCGACTAGACTGTTATCAACTCGCTCGTATCTCGCCTCGCCTTGGAGCTGTATACATTTCGTTGTTGGTGCGAACTGTGGCGCCATCATGGTGTTCTAATGGGACAGAGCCCTAAAAGTAAGACCAACGAGAAGCGATACCAAATGTACANAATGTAAACAAACCCAATGTCATGGGTGAACCCGTCTGACTTTGACATATTTTGGCGGGAGAACGAGACATTACGACGAATACACAAGATGGGAAGAGACAGAATATATTGTCAACTCGACAGTCGTATCGACCTTTTTGTATCGCTGCTAGTTGGCCGTACTTTACACAGCGCATTATTTCACTTATGAGAACGTATCTTATCTAATTTATCTTATCTAAAATTACCTCTAGGTTTCAAGTCGTTTCTAGCGACAGAGGTCCTGGGCACGGGCTTCAGCCTGATACTCCTCTCGGCTTCGGTCATCTCCCTCGGCAGAGGTTTCTCTCTCTCGTAGCTGGATTTTCTTGGCCTTGATCCTGATGCAGACAATTTACATTATTTGGTTACTGCTAGTTTCAGTAAACATTATTATGTCGCGTAAGTTCTAACATCGCGTAAGAGATTTTTGGAGTTGTGTTGATGTTATCTAGAGAATCGATATTAGAATTATTGTTTGGGCTAATAAGAAACAACACTCATTCATTACATAATATTGAGAACTTACGCGACTATAAATGATAGTTTAAAATATAAATCTAGATATCATTTCATTAAATACATACTATAATATGCCTTACACTTTCATATATCAAGTATCTGTCTTTTGTCCTAGATAAATCGTATTGGAATTAGTACTTAGGAGAGCAAGTAAACTACGCCTTTTGTACTCATAAGCCTAGTTGAAAAGATGATTGTAAATGCTTACATAATGTTGATATAATAAAACTTTCCTTGACTATTTATTACTGCTGCAGTCGCTGAAATTTGATCAAAGAAAGACGCCTAAGATTATAAAATCATATTCAAATATCACACAGTAACAAAAAGAATACATACAATCATGAATTGGAGATTATCCCCCATTAAAAAGAACAAACAAAGTTGACTCTTCAGAATTAACCAACCCAACTACTGGAATGAGTGAGGACTTTTTCATTGAGCACGACTTTGACCAAAATAAAAAACAATGTAAGTCCAGGAAATCTAGACTTGAAGTGGTTTTCTAAGAAAAGAAACAGGACATAATAGCGCTCCTTTGGGAAGGCCTACGTCTAATTGCAACTAGCTGTATTATGAGGATTCCTAGATAGGACTGACTTTCATCAACGCTGCAAAAGTTATAGAATAAGACGACAATAGTATGAAAATTATGGTATAACTAAGTAATCATGACATAACAAATCCATCCAGTGTACTGAATGCGTGTACTCCATCACTGCTGGAATAAATTCTGTGGTAATTCCGAAAATCTGACATATTTTGGGATTTCAACTTACGACTGCACGTATGTGAAGGTTTTCACTTTTCCAGACTGCTCTCCAAATACATCTGTTGAAAGATCTGCTGTTTAGGACGACTGATAGAACAAAAACCTAAACAAAAAATGTTGCTTTGATGTCAGTATAAAAGCTAATGATAATTAATGAATTTTGTCGTAGTCTCGTGGAATTTAATTAGATGTAATTATGACGAAGAGTGAATATACCAAGTCCTGTAGATGCAGAAACCATATCCCAATTTGAAAATATGGAAAGAGCACTTTCGAAAACAAGTCTGAAAATAAGCTTGTGTTATAAATAACTTCCCAAACGAAGAACGCATTGCATTCGCTGAATTCTATAACATCACCTAGGCTAGAAGGTATACTGCTAGCCGCATGTCCATAAAATAATATAGGCACATGTATTGATAACACGCACTCACATGATGACAAATATTAATCCACAACTAAAGACTGCAACAGTGAAGTAATCACTTATTTTGAAGAATGTTTGTAGAGCTCGTCGCCCTAAAATGAATTAAATTCCACGTTCACCTTGCTCACCTTCTCCCGGAGAATAAAATTGTTATATCGACGTTTCCCAAAATATTCTTTACCTGAAAGTCACCCCTGTAATGTAATCAATAAGTGCGGAATCCGTGTGCTTACCTGACCATACCATCCTGGTCCTCCCTCCAGATTCCGAAAGAAGAGAGTCACCAGTTCTTAACGTCGACCACAAAATTCAACGATTCCTTCAATTCCATTCTCGTCTCTTCTGATTTATTGGAAGTTTTGCAGGAACTGTGTCCATTATCAACACGACTCCTGAGCTGTAAACCTCACATTGCAAGTTTTATAAATGTCACATACAGCCATGAAATGTATCTAAGCAAACAATAAAAGCATACTTCATTGATCCTCACCTTATTAGGTCGAACATTATTTACTAAATCTTATGTAAATAATAGAAAAACTTATACATTTGAAACCTTTTAATATCACTAAACAAACATTATTATAAGTAAGTAATAAAGTATTAATCTTAATTTAATGTAACAACTAAAGTCATCCTCAATCACATTACACATGGTTTAAGTTAGAAGCGCAATCATAATGAAATTAGAGGATAAATTGGTTAAAATCCCGAAACGTCCTACGTCAGAGCTCACCCATATAAATAATGTCGTCATCGGACTCCGACTGAGATATGTCCATATTGGCCACATCGTAGCTGTCGGTCTGTTCCGCTTTGTACTTGTCGAGTATTTCTCGCAGCCTGCCGCTGCTATACTCCGACTTAAAGTACGCCACAAGCATGACCTGGCGGTCGTCGACATAGTCCAACCGGAACTTCATGCCGAGAAGAGTTTCCACGGACTCTGCGTCTATCTCTACGTCCAGCAGCGCCTTGTGCTTGTCGAACGATATCGACGACGCGGGCTTCCACAGATGGAAGTTCAACCCCTTAACCCCTTGATTGCTCTGCCGCAATCGCTCGCAGATCCGCGGCGCGTTTATGTTGTGCTCGTTCGGCACGTTTATCGTCATCTTGAAAAACCGAATCCTCGCTTCGTCCGCGCCCACCACTACCACGGGTTGCTTGTTCAGGCGGCCCATGTCCAGCCCCATCAACCAACGCTTGGACTCCTCGTTCTCCGGCACCACCCCGAAACAGTTCGGCGTACAGAACCCGTACTTAACGAAATCAGTTCGACTCAAACCGCCCCCGCTCTGGTGGTACTTGAACAGATTGTAAATGATGCTCTCTTTGATTTTCCGCGCTTGAACGATGCTCAACGATTTGGAACCTTTCAGCGTTACCTTGACGATGCTGGGGTCGCTTCCCAGGGAGGGCATGGAGGAGTTCTGCGCGGCCGCCACGATCTCCGACTTGTCGGTCACCGAGGGCTCCCTCAGGCCGGAGTCGAAGGCGTCCTTGTCCACGGCGACCGCCCGGAGGTAAACGCTCACCTTCTGAAGCTCGTAGCTGAGAAGCATCTTGTGTTTCTCGAGCACTCGCGCGGATGACGGAGGCATATCCACGTAGACCCTGGTCCCCTTGATGTTGACTATTTTCTTCACCATCTTCCACTTACCTATGTCCGCGCCCTCCAGCTTTTTGTTTTGCAGTTCCAGCTTTTTTAACGGCTCGATGTTGCGGCACCTGGAATGGCCGGGCAGCCAGATGGCGGCGCGCT